TCTTCGTATTGATGACTGTTGTAATTTTGAATTCCAAATACAATACATTCGTTCGAGTTCATCTGGTACTTCTTGATTAAATTGCGTTATTCCTGGGATTACTAGTTCATACTACAATTCAAATACTTCTAATTATCATATTGGCGTCGCGATGGAGCCTGCGATACAACAGTTGGACATTCATTCAACTTCTGAAGCTTGTGAGGATTACCTTGAAAGGTTTGAGATATGGAGCATGACCAAGAAAGATATGAAGGGTGACAAAATTGTGGCACATTTTCTTACATTCATCGGTCAAGAAGCCTACAGTTTATTAAAAACCTTGGCATATCCAGATAAGCCGATTTCACTCCCATATACAACTCTCAAGGAATTACTATTAAACCATGTGAAGTGCACCAGTTTTGAGTGTCGTGAGAGAGCAAAATTTCATAAGATGATTCGTCAGGATAACCAGAAGGTTAAAGACTTCATCCTTGAATTGCAAAGACAAGCTGCCAAATGCAATTTTGGTGATCAGCTTCATGTACAGTTGAGAGATCGGTTAATTGCTGGAATTAACATACCAGGTCTGGAAAAGGAGCTGTTAAGAATGCCGAACTGTTCTTTTCAAGATGCTAGAACTGCATGTATTAACTACGAAGCAGTGAATGAACTTGATATTCAATCGATGAAAATTTCTAATACTTTGCTTAGTCGTCATGATGAATTACAATCTCAGGGTCGATCAAATTTGCGTTCGTTTAATCGTGATTGCTATTCCCGTGGAAATATGAAAGGTGGTTTAACAAGGAACTGCAAAGCAAACAACAAAGGTGAGAATAAGTTTGGTAAATGCTTATCTTGTGGCAAATTTCATTTTCGTAATTCATGTACATTTCGTAATGCTAAATGTTTTAAATGTGGCAAGATAGGACACATTCAGTCAGTGTGCAAAACTACTGTTCACTTTGCTTCAAGTATTACTAAGTCTGGTAACTTAGATCCCAATAATTCGGCTGTTCTTGATGATCATTTATCTTTATCCACTACTTCAAAAGGGAATGTTCATATTCAAAAGCGATTATATACATCCCTTGGTTCATTTCATGACTTTATTGTGGACACAGGTAGTATAGAGTCCATTATTTCATTCAAGAACTTGAAATCTTTAGATCCTAATGTTGTGGTAAAACCCACTGAGGTCTCAATACTGGGGATTACTGGACACAGACTACCTATACGAGGATGTTGTAAATTGCTAATAAGAGATGATAATTCTTCATACGTACCTTGTGAATTTTTAGTTAGTGTAACAGGACTGTCCATACTGGGTTTAAAAAATCTGAAAAGGCTTAAAGTGGAATTGTCTCTACTAGTTTCTACAGAGAATTCTGATGCTTTACTCAAGGATTTGATAGCTGTGTGTGCTAAGTGTAGTGGAGGTATGAAAATTCAGCCCATTAAACTTCAAGTACAGGGTGATCCGGTCTTTCTTAAAAGACGAATAATTCCTTATGGTCTTCGAGAAGCAGTACATAAGTCACTGAATGATTTGTGTGCGAAAGGTATAATTGAACCAGTTCAGTCCTCAGCATGGGGTACTCCTATTGTTACGCCATTGAAATCGGATGGCAAGACCCCTAGAATATGCGGTGATTACAGATTGACACTGAACTCCCGTTTGTTGAAGCAAACATGCACGACGATGGAGGCTGAAGATATTCTAAATCGGCTTCATGGTTCTAAAGTGTTCTCGAAAGTTGACTTGAAAGATGCTTATCTTCAAATCCCTTTAGACCAATCTTCATCTATCTTGACAACAATTAACACTCCTTTTGGTCTGTTCAAATACAACTTCCTTCCATTTGGTCTTAGTTGTTCTCCAGCCATATTTCAAGAGGTCATGAATAAGATAGTCAGCGATATTGAAGGTGTTGAAGTTTATCAAGATGATCTCATTGTTCATGGTGCTGATAAAGTAGTCCATGACCAGAGACTTATTGCTTTATTGCGTCGTTTAATTGAGAAGAATATTACAGTGAATCCAAATAAGTGTTCATTTAGTGTATCTAGTTTTGAATGCCTTGGATACCTAGTTGATGGTAATGGTTTTAGACCAGATATGAAACGACTAGCTCCACTGACAAATGCACCGTCTCCAAAAAACATCACAGAATTACGTTCACTAGTGGGTGCTCTTCAGTACTATTCTCGTTTTATTCCTAATTTTTCTTGTCGTGCCAATTGTTTATTTAATATTTTGACATCCAATTCATTCAAATGGGGTGAAGAACAAGAGTCATGCCTACGAAGTCTGCTAAAGTTTCTTCAAAGTGATGCTGTCCTTCGAACTTACTCACCCAGTGTACATTCTGTTCTTATTACTGATGCGTCACCTGTAGGTATTGGTGCAGTTTTGGAACAGGAAGGTAGGCCAGTTATATGTGTTTCACGCAAACTTTCTGTTGCTGAACAAGGTTATTCACAAACGCAGCGAGAAGCGTTAGCTGTGTTTTGGGCTGTTAAAAGACTTCATAAATATTTATTTGGAAAGAAGTTTACCATTGTTACTGATCATGAAGCCTTAAAGTTCATTTATCATCCTGACAAATCCTTAGCACGTTCCTCAGCTGCTATGGTTCAACGATGGAGTATTGCTTTGAGTGCTTATGACTATACGATTCAGCACAGGAGTGCAAAACAAATTCAACACGTTGACTACATTTCTCGACAACCATTACAAGATAGACCTGTTAATACTTCAGACTGCTTGTTAGTGCAACCTTTACCGGTGAGACGTCCAGATCTCATTAGAGAAACTCGTAGATACTTTGGATGTATACTCAGTGCTATACGGAAGGGTTGGAATGCTAATCTGAAACGTAGATTTCCTGTCTATTATTCAAAGCGGGACGAGTTATCTACTACTCCTGACGGTATTTTGTGTTTAAATGATCGTGTTGTTATTCCTCCTTCATTACGCAAACCTGTCCTTGATGATCTTCATAGTGGACATCTTGGTGTTGAGAAAATGAAATCCTTAGCAAGACTCACATGTTGGTGGCCAGAGATAAATGCAGATATATGTCGTACAGCAAACAATTGTGAGAAATGTCATAAGCTAAAAAGTCTGCCTTCGAAGTGGACTCCATGGCCAGTATCGTCTGAGGCCTGGCAGAGAATTCATGCAGACTACTGTGGTCCATTTCTTGGCAAATACTATGCACTTGTAATTATTGATTCTTTTTCTAAGTGGCCTGAAGTTTTTTTCACAACTTCACCGAATTCTGACTTCACAATTCAAGCATTAAGGAAGGTGTTTAGTCGAGAAGGAGTTCCCATGGTGTTGGTGACTGATAATGGCTCTCATTTTGCTGCAGATGCAGTCACTAATTGGTTAAATGGTATAGGGTGCAGACATCTGTTTACGGCTCCCAGGCACCCTTGTTCCAATGGTCAGGCAGAAAATTTCGTAAGAACATTGAAAATTGCTATTGATTCTATTGCTGCTTCGACATTCAATGAACTGGAGAGGGGAGTAGATACATTTCTACTTCAATATAGAAATGCTAAGCATTCTGTGACGAAAGAGACTCCATCAAAGCTATTAAAAGGAAGAATTCTCCGTTCGAATATGAGGTGTTTGGAGTCTGCAGAAGTTACGTATTATCGTGGTAATGATCTTCGACCAGCCACGGGGATCGTGGTGAAGAATGTTGGAAAATCTATGGTGCGAATTCTGGATATCAATGACTTGACCATACATAACCGACACGTTGATCAAATACAATACCAGAATCCAGGTGAGTCTGTTCCAATTTCGGTTGTTAATTCTAATACTAATGAGTGCATTCTAGATAATACAGAGTCTACATCCAATACACCGTCGGACAGATGTAAGATGAACTTAAGAAGAGGACGAACAATCGATTACAGACACTTACACTCCAATTCGAGCTGTGGCGGATGTGATGTTTAAATAAATCAATGACTTCTTCGTATTGATGACTGTTGTAATTTTGAATTCCAAATACAATACATTCGTTCGAGTTCATCTGGTACTTCTTGATTAAATTGCGTTATTCCTGGGATTACTAGTTCATACTACAATTCAAATACTTCTAATTATCATAAATATTTAATTCATAACAACATCCTAAATAAGATTTGTGGTAATCCCCGAATGATGCACTGTAGTTACATTCTCTTGAATTTACATTCAACTGAGATTAACAAAACATAAGTAATAGAATTACCTTGCAATACTTATTCAGCTGTATTAAAAAGGTATATTATCATAAGCCTAATATATCCTAAGTACATACGTACTAAAACAACAGATATTCAATTAACTTAAGTATATAACTATCCATACTGTATATGCTAATGACTAAACTAATGGTTTTGACTGATGGCTTAAATAAATTACATGTAGCGACATCCAAAAACTTCAGTTCTACAGTCTGATATCATTATTACCCTTTTTGTAAAACCAAACTATGCGAGAAAGTTGAATAGGGAAAACTGTTTGCACTGAAAATGGTGATAGAAATGATGGATACGAATTGTCTGAAAAGGGACAAAACTAAACAAGGAAATGTTCATTCTGAAGAACGTTTTACATGAAATGAACTGAAAAATAAGTACGTGTTACATTGAACTCAGTCAATCGTCAAGTACTGATCTGAATATTCAAACCTTAAAACTAGTATTTAAGGAACTATGAACCCAGAGTAATGTGATATTTGACAGTTGATGGGAAGATGGACTTGTGATAGAAAAGGAAATGATGCTTTTTGAGTTATCTGAAACTTAGTTATCAGCTTTACAGTACTGAACATTACCACTTAGTTATTTGGGCGGCCAATAATCTCCCGTACGACTGAAATATTTATCGTTAATTGATTACTGAGTGGTAATCAATCTATTGTAGTAATGCGAATCTCTAGTTCCATAAATTTCATATTATAGTGAAGTATTATCTAACGGTACTGACGAATAAGCACCCTAATCCTGACAAACATGAACTCTAGTCAACTAATTTTATTCTAAAAATATCTGGAATTAAACATTGTAGTGGAGAGGAGTGAAAAAAGGGTTCAGATCAGATCAACGTCATCTTCGTTCCAATAACTTTGAGCGACTTATTTAGCAGTGAGCATCCGATATTTGAATTTCTTGAGGTTGGTAGCATGTTTTTGAGCTGGCTAGAGTTTCTGCTTTTCATATATTTGTGTGGTCTGTGAACGTCGAGAAACATAAAACAATCGTTTAAAATAGCTTAAATTGAGTGTTCTTTCTTTTATAGTGTGAACATTGAATTCTTCGCTGCTGTTCACCTCTCTATTAAAAAGCTGTTGTTAAACCGGGTTCGCCGAATATCGCATCAGATTTAGGAAATAGCATATGATCACCTAATATTATCACATGATTGATCTGACAGACGTAATTAAAGAGGATTTAACATTCTTGAAGATGGACCTTAAGCAGGCAAAATTAAGTGAACAGTGAAGAAATATTGACCTCGAAAATAACCTGATAACATCTAACAACTGCAAAGAAGCCTTGAAACCGATCTTTTCATCCACCTATTATATTTCTGGTATGGTAATTATAAAATTTGGTCACAGATTATAACGCTTATTATTTCAATCTAACAAGTTAGGGTGAGGATAACCATCCTTTCCCAATGTTCATTAAAAGTGCGATATCTAGCATTCTCGATCACTTTGCCATTCATTTACATTTTTTTCGTGCCTCATACAAGAGTGCGGTTATCATTGTAGTCTTTATTTTACTCCTCTAAAGTTATCTAAATACGTCTTCTGTGAATACGCTACTGTAGTGCACCCCAAATCCTATTATAAAAAAACCAAAAATCGTAAAGATAAATTATGAAATATTTGTTTTCATTGAGATCATAAACGTGGATGACCATTGCTGAGGAGTGCCATACCTGGACGAAACGGCCGTCTAGTGCTTCCAGGTTTCCAATGCTGGTTTAACATTGATCGGTTCATGATCTCATTACAAACTTACCGATTTCTACAATCCTATACTGATAACTACTTATTTGTTTATTTTCACTAAGGCTTCCAAGAGTCACTGTCAATTTAAAATCTTACATTATAAGTCTAACTATTCATCAGATGACATGATTTGTTAACCAAGCTTTCAAGCATCATTTAAGTGACCTTGACCTAGCTTGTGCTACTGTTAGCTAGTATGGAATTCAACTTTACAGTGTATGAATATGTAACATGAAAATAATATCGAAAATACAATCGATTTACATAAGTAAAACTTAGAAAATCTTGTAATATACTTTGAAATTTAAACAGATCTCTCGTTATAAATATATCGGTGAGGCTATGATTTATGGACAGACCAATCACATTTAAGATAACAGGTCTTGGATCTTGGCGCAAAATTCATTCAGTCATTCGGCTAAATATCATTTTGAAATTATAACTGATGTCAGTTCATGATCAAAACATTAAATCCAAATTCATAACTCTAACATTCGACTGTAAATCCTAATTCCAATTCCTCACACTAATACATAACTTTCATTTAACCCTGGTAAGTAGGTGAACATTCCAAGGTCATTTTAGTGTTGCTCAAAGGTCGTCCATAAATTATAGTCTTACCAATATATATCAATATTCCTTTGTACCAATTAAAATGTAAAATATAAATGTGTAACCTGTTTCCCGTTAAGTTCACCAAGTAATTCATTTAAGAAAACTATGGAACTTTAGTTATAACTTCATGATATTGACAATTTCTCATAACTTTGTTATAGACCCTATCATTGGTTATAGTTTTAATAAAGCTCACCTTGTTTAATGTCATTTAACTATCCAATTACCTTAAAAATATAAATCAAATCGACTTTCACTTTCTACTTCAATACAAGTCATTTATAGTTATTCTTAATTCAACGTTTTAGAGGACTTACTTTAAATTGCGAACCAATCGATGTTAGATAACTTTTGGAAAATTCGAACGCACTGGATGGTGGTTTCATCCTAGCGTTTTAAAGTGTGTTTCGTGGGCTACACGCCATCTTGACATGTACAGATCCATTATTTGCATTAATGATCAGAAATAATATGGCTTTTGTTTGCCATTGTAGATACGGTTTTGACTGAGTTCTCAGCAATTCAATGGGGGTATTATATTGAATATAAAATTTAAAAAATCCCTCTTCGAACAAAGAAGCTGTTGTCTAGCTGTTACTTTTTCAACAAAATCAATTCTAAGCTTTACAGGCAATTACCTGACATCTAAACGTAGTGCATGTGGTGTCAACTTATTAAACCTTGGGGACACCTTGCATCTTATTCGATAGAGTTTAATTAGAACAACAGGATTGGAGAAATTCGGCATTAGTCAATACTCAATGATCATTTACTCGTAAATGTCTCCGTTCTACAAGAGAAAAGTAACTTCAAAAGCTCAGTGATAACAGCTTAGACTGTTAAGCAGGATGACACAGGATAGAGTTTTGTAGGAGCACCATTTTCCTCAAGACTGCAACTACGCCCTGCTGACATGTGGTAAATAGCGCGTATCTCATATCCAGTATGTCCTGATGACTACCCACAATCTTCTTTCATACCATTACCATATTTCGTAATCAGTTCATTTCAGGATAAACTAAAACATATTGAAATTCAAAATGACTACTGAATTAGTTACAGAAAAAAAGTCTGATGTATAATTAATATGATGTATACAACTGAAACGATAATTTCTAGTGAAATACCCTAAATCCATATTACTGAGTTAATGCCGTATTCTAAACCAACACTCTATGACTTCATTGAATGATGTCATATCCTCGTTTGGTCACTGCTAGCTTTCTACCAAACTCCTAGTGCACCGAAAAGCATGCCCCGTTAAGGTAGGCTGTGGTTAGTCATGCATAATATTTTCCCTAATATAGTCAAGTGACGAATGGCTGAGTGCAGGTAGTTAGGAAAGATACTAACAAAGACGGAGTGAAAATCCAGTCTTAAGTGTCAAGTCATTTTTATAAAATGATATTGTTTAATATTATATTAAAAAAGATTAGCACATATAATGCATGACCACGATATATGTGCTTTCATTTTTTCCAACTGTCTTCTCTAAGAGGTAATTCATATTAGCTATAGAGTGGCTTCAGTGTTTTACAGAACAGAGAGTTCACAGTTAGAAAATTTTCGATCAGTTTATAAGTCAATATTGTGCCTTGGCTTCATTCACTGACGAATTTCATCCCTACATGCAAAATATATTTAAAATTTGTTCAATTATTACATAAAGAACATCTATTACTTGTAATACATAATGATTAGAACATTTAACGCTCAATAGTTTAATCAAAAGCCAAGGAATTGAATAATAAAACATAGGTGTTATACTATTAGCAAAGATGGATAGGGGCTGACAGTGGAATCTAGTTTGACGCGCATTTCATCCTATTTGGCACTCGTCAGCTGGATGTACCTGCATCTCAGAGTTCATGTTCACTCTGAGACTCGAACCCAAGAACCTTTCGTTTCAAACGCCATCGCGTTATCCACTCAGCTACTGAATCCTGGTAACTACTTGGTTGTGCAATGAGGTGAAGTTTAAATTCACTTGTTATTGTTTGTTTGAATCTTCCCATTGATGTTTAGGACTGAAGGCCTGTGGGACTGGTAGCCACTATACATCTTTGCTTGTGAATTAAGGCTATATCGAGGCAATATGCACAGTATGCACATATGCCAATACGAGACTAATCAATTGAAGTCCAAAACATCAATGGGAAGATTCAAACAAACAATACAAAGGGAATTAAGTGTTATACTATTTCTAAATTTTTATATATCATTACATTTGCAGCATTGTATAGTAGTGTGCACTACTTAAGTGGACTGACATAAGTAGTATATAGCAGGCGCTGAAAGTGTATTGCTTACCAGCAGAAGATTGAAATCAAGAGAAGTGAAAGAAAAACAGAGAGAAATTGGAATAAAAACAGAAATGTAGAGATGATAGAGTATGTGAAGAATAACTCA